TTGGACCTTTAAAGCCAAATGTTGGCATTTTAATTTTGGGCATTTCAAATCCACCTTTTGGACCCTCGATGTCAACTTTTGGTCCCTCAATGTCAACTCCCGGTGCTTTCACTTTTCCTTCAATCTTTGGAACATCCACCTCACCTTCAACTTTGGGGCCTTTCAGATTGAAATCCACATCAGGCATGGAAATTTTCGGCCCGGACATACCTGACATCTTGAATTTTGGTCCTTTGATCTTTCCACTCGGACCTTCAACATCAATGTCCGCTCCTTTAATGTCAACGGGTGCTTTCATTTCAATATCCCCTTTAGGAAGGCTGACATCAACATCTGGACCTTCAACCTTTGGACCTTTCACACCAAAGGATGACATTTCAACTTTGGGCATTTTAAGTCCCCCTTTATGACCCTCAATATTAACATATCTTCCTTCAATGTCCACTTTTGGAGCTTGTAGGTCTCCCTCAATCTTTGGAGCTGATACAGTAACATCTCCCTTGAGTTTTGGCCCTTTTACAGTGTTGTTGAACTCCTCCAATTTGGGTCCCCGTGATGATGATACATCGACTTCAGGTGCTTTAACATTAATTTCAGTCTTGGAAAGGTTAATATTCACATCCTGACCTTCAGGCTTTGGACCTTTTATGCAAAGAGATGGCATTTTAATATTGGACATAATAAGTCCACTGGTTTGGCCTTCACTGTCAATTTCTTTTCCTTCAATCTTCATTTTTGGAGTTTTTATATCCCTCTCAAGGTTTGGTACATCAACATTTCCCTTCATTTTGGGACCTTTCACACTCATGTCCAAATCTTTCAGTTTAGTTCCCGACAATGATGGTACTTCTATTTTTGATCCTTTGAGATTCACATCAAGGTCTTCTGTGTCCACTTGCGGTCCTGTAATATCAAAATCAGGTGCTTTAACATCAATACCAGTCCTGGGAAGGTTTATCTCTAGACCTTTGACATCAATCTCGTGTGTTTTTATCTCCCCTTTTATCCCTGCTTTATTTTCAACTTTAGGTATTTTGGTGTCAGTTTTGGATTTGGAAAGTTTTAGATCAACATCTAGACGCTCTGCTTTTGGAACTCCAAATTCTGCAGCAGGCACTGTGACATTTACTTGTGTTCTTTTAATATCAACACTGGGTCCTTTAATTTTTACATCCTTACTGTCAATAGAAGGTTTTATTGCTTTAATGTCAGCTTCAGGAATTTGTACATGAGCGTTTGTTCCCTCTTTCCTCTCAGTGTCTGTATTTGAACCTTTAATGTCAAATTTCAGTCCTGCTGTTTTTCTCTCACCAGTTAAATCACCTTTTCCCTCAACCTTATTCAGCCCAGATATGGATGGAACATTAACATCCATTTTGTATTTGCTATCAGTTGTTGGGAGTTTGATTTGAATATTAGAGTTGATTTCAGCACTTCCGATGTCACTTTCAGACTCTGAATGTCTTACACTCAAAACTGACCCTTCAGTGTTGGCTCTGGGGCCCTTGATCTGAACACCGGCTCCTTTGATGTCCAGTTCAGATTTTTTTGAAGAAAGTCCCGAGGTAACATTATCTAATGTTATTGTTGATTTTTCTATCCTGCCATCTTTCAAATTTGCACCAGTATCTGTCGACCCTCCTATTCTGATATGTGGAATGTCAGTACTACCTGATCCTTTCGTCTGCAGGGGACTGATTGTAATTCCAGATATCTTAACTTTTGTCCTCTCATCTAAAGTACTGTCTGAACTTCCCATCTGTGTTTTCTCTGTGGTTGCAGTCAAAATTTTCATTCCTTTTCCTGGTAAAGACAGTCTACCCGACCCTCCGTTTTCGTCAGTTGAAATTATCCCAGCACCCCCTGACCCAGCTGTAACATGGCTGCCGGCAGTGTTTTTGTTGTCTCTTAGTGTCACAGTCATTTCTGAATCCTGAACACTTTCATCTCCTTGCTCGCTACTCCCTCTTGAAGTTTCAGTGCCTTCATGGCATTTACTACCTGTTACTCCAAAGCTAGGAACCTTAAATCTAAGATCACTTCTTTCTTTTTCCTCTCCTATATGCGTTGTAGTTTGAACCCCACCATTGCCCCAGCGTGTCACAGTGGAAGTGATATTTGGCCCAGTGTAAGTTATGTCGCCTGACTCAAAAACACCTTCTTCTGCTCCCATTTTACCTGAAGGGCTGCCATGTGAGATTCTGATATGAGAAGATCCATCTCCAGATTCATGCCTTAGCCCTTTGACGTCTGGGCTTGAAAGTTCAAGTTGCTCACTTATGCCACTTGGCATATCTACTGTGTAAGTAGTGATACGACGAGTGATGGTAGTAATTGTGCTGCCATCGCTGCTTGTGCTGCTGTGCCGCTCCGTGCGAACATCCACTCCCTCTGCAAGGTCTTCAGATTTCAGCCTTGGTTTTATCTTTCTTGTGTATATTCGCTTATAATCTTCATCATCCCCACTCTGTTGATTGAATGACACAAACATGCAAGTGTTACAGCACACCCTGTTTTAGTCCACTAGCTTTCCTGCAGACATATGAGTGATAATGTAGTTGGTTTTTCTTTCGTTTGTTTGGGGGACTTTTTCCCCTTTTTTGTTTTTTAAAAAGAACTTACAAGAATGATATCTGGACTGGAATCTCCAAAGCGGGTCTTTCCTTCCCATGTAAGGGTGCTGACTGGTGAACGACATGGTGTGCTCAGCGGTGAGTAGTAAGGGGATTTGTCTCCTTTGTTTTGTAGTTTCAGTCCAACCTTGTGTTTGTTCAGTGTCTTTAGTAGCTCTGCTGTTTCTTCAGAACTCATATTTTCAAAGTAGATAGTGGCACCCACAATTTGGTCACCTATGATTTAAGTGGAAGCAGCACAAAAAAACAAAAGAGCAAAAGTCAGCGTGCACATCTTACTAAACATTTGGTGAAAGCTACATATTTGAACAAAAACTGAATTTGTTACCTTCATATACTTTTCCAGACCGTGCTGCTGGTGACTCTCCTTTCACCTCCTTAACAAAGAGCTGTCCTCCACTTGTCTGTTCAATGGTCATGCCAGTTTTGTCAGCACCTTCCCAATCTGGAAAGAGTACCTCCCTTGTCTCCTCTTCGTCAGCCATCTGTAAACATAGCCATAAAAATAGCAGGTTCAACAGAAAAAAATCATAGTTAGTTGGCAAAAACTCTTTACAGCATAAAATATGGAATACTAGTCTTAAACCTTAAATTCCTAAAATACCTTGTTTTTGTTTTCTTCAATTCAAGCCTCGTTGTAGCACAAATTCTCTTTGTTTTCCTGCAAAAACAAAAGACAGACTTTGAACAAATTCTATCCACATCCCACTTTGTAAGGAGCCTGGGTTAAAAGACCCAAAAGTGAACACTAGATGGTGTTAAAACTCCTTCAGACAATATAGCCTATCTAACTATAAGTGCCTTCCCTTCCCTCCAGGATGCACTACGTTTTGGAAACTTGGTTGAAGTCAGACCACTCCCTGCCCTGAGGAAACAGCCAAATCCCCTGCGTACAGATCAACTCAAACATCAATAGAAACAAAAGTGAGGGTCACAGGTACTTTATTTAAAGAAAAAAAACCAAAAACACACCAAGGTGGAGAAATGTATGGTAACAAATAAATCACCTAAAAGAGTTACTACTCTAATACAGATGTACAACCACAAACACTAATCTAATAGGAAAACAGTTGCACCCTTGTATAGGATCCCACATTAAGCTTGTAGTTCTGTTCAATAACAAGAGCTATGAATTCCTTTTCAGCAATTAACCATAGATTTGTTATTAATTTTTTTATCACTACAGCTGAAAGTTTTTACAAAGCTGATGACAATGATCTACCTCATTACGCTGTAGTAGCACACATTAGGTTGGGTGAGGCCATCAGAGTACATAAGGTATACATTATACCTTCAAATAATTACCAAATTTACCATATTTATATCACTTTAAATTAGGCCAACTGAAATTCATGCTTAGCTTTTCAACAACTGTCACTATCTGTTTGCAATGTAAAAAGATCATCACATCAATGATAAAGTTTGTTGACAACATTACTAGACATGTGTCCACAAACATGCTGACTGGTAATACCCACTCTCCTTTTTGGAACACAGAACCTATTGTTTTGTTAGTACCAAGCTCTCCACCACCCACTCCTCGAAATATACAAAGCTGTTCCACGATGATGTGTCTCTACCAATAGAAAGGGATTTTTATGTTGTTGTTTGTTTGTTTTTAATTCGAGAGAATGTAATGTGATTGGTGACAACACTATTGGAAGTACTTTTTGATTAATGATGTTGCACCACAAGACAGTAGCAAAGCTCTAGTACCACAGTCATTTCAGTGAGACAATCACTACAAATGCCTAGTGTAACCATTCAGGAGGATTTAACAAAGGTTCTATCGGCCAACAGAAAATGGCAAAAGCCTATTCATAGTTGTGATGAATGAAACAGGATATGAGTCACTTTGGTGATTAGTTTCCTATGTTTATTGTGATTATGATTAAAAACAAAGATTTAAGGAATAATAACTTGGAAAAAAAATAAGACTGATAATCTTGTCTGACCTTACAAATATATGTATTTTAATGTTAATGTCAATGTGCTAGAAATAATAATATTAGCAGAAAAATTAATATAATTTTACACCACAGTCAAGAACACAGTTACCACATAGGCCACGAATCCCTTCCTCATTCACTGATACTGCCTCTCTGTTATGCAAGATAACAAGTTGCTGGAAACAAGAGGAACCTGAGACGAAGCTAAAGAAGCAACAGTTTTAAGAGGTTTTGTAATATGCATCACTTATTCAGCAGCCATATGCCACTCCTGCCATGCAGCTAAAATGCAGTGTTTCAAACAAATGAGATCGTTAGAAGAAAACAGTTCTGGTGTTTTCTGCAATGTCCAAATTAAGACTGCAGATCTAGGTGGTGCATACAGTTCTGTGTAATATGAACTATTGTCTCAGTTATTTGTAGTCTGTTGATGCCAGTCCTAGGTCACATAACAAGCCCTCTGCAAATTAACACAAGTCAATAAATAGACTGGATCTGCATGGTTGGGAATACTGAAGAAAGCATGCAATGCTTTGAGGTAAAATTAAAATTCTTTGAAAAAATAGCATTTAGCCACTGAGCATGATTATGCCGGAGAATAGGATAATGCTCATTCCAAAGGTGATTCCAGCCGCTTGCAGGTATATAAAACCTGATCTTCACTTTGTTGCTTCATCTGTCCTCCTCCCTTCTTTCTATCACATTGTGCTTTGCACCATGGCCTCATAGTACCTTGAAACACGAATCTATCAAGACCTCAAGCTGCAACATTATATGCATCAGTTATAGTTGAAATGTGTGAAAACTGAAGGGGTAAAAAAAACAGTACCAAAAAACACAGCTTTATTTAATTATCTTGGGTAGAGCAAATTCAAATCAGGCCAACTGATGCAGCCATTTACAAAATCTTTAAAGTGTCCTTCAGATCCCACACTCACAGCATTTGGGAGAAATCAAAGGGAATTTGTCTTCCCCATGGGCTCGAACACAGCTCATTTTGCCCGAATATATCCTGTCCTAATCCAGTCAATAAAAACAGACCCAAATAACTGACAAACCTTTCACATGATCTTGTTTTTCTCTTTTGCTAGTCTTATTGGCATTGTACAGATTACTGCTAGATGAGATAATTGTTCAGAAAAAATGTTCACAGGGGAAAAGCACAAGAAATATTATTGGGTTTATAAAAACAGAGTGGGAAGTTAAGAATGCATCCACACTCATACGCATAATCGTGGGACACAACTATCCCTTTATCCCTCAAAGGTTTATTTTCAAGCATAATCATATAGTTTTGATAAATATTTTGATTTTGGCCTAGCACACAGGCTTACCATGTTTGAACGATTTGGGCCATTGTGTCCTAGACGTTCTGACATATTTCTGGCAGCAAGCTGTGGGGGTAAGCTGAGGCACGCAACAGAAATCAAGGGGGAATTTGAAACACACAGAAAGAGATATAAGGAAAAGAGGATGTTAAAAAAAATTAAAGTGAGGCAATTAAAAAGGGGGGGGGGGGGGGGATTGTTGTCAAGCTATGTTATAGAACATTAAAGAAAGGCATCCAAGCAGAACTGAAAAAGTGGGGATTCTCCTCAGAAGCTTACAAGTTCAGAGATATGCATAAGAGAATATTTGCAAAAAGTCCCTGCACTTTTTACTGTCATTACTCAACTTAATCACAATTATTAATTTCTTTGCTTATTTTAAGATAAACTTAGAAAGTAGTGTAATTAAGTATAAACTAAATTAGGAAAATTAACAATTAACCCAAAAAGACCTTATGATTATAAACATATGCCAAATGAATGAGCCCTTGTTCTTGAAATCATAGCAAATGGTCTGGGACTCCAGGAGTTGACAGTACATGACAGTCATTCAGCTCTGTATTCTTTCTCTTTCATTTCTATAACGTGCCTGAGTACCGCTGATCCAATGCCAAATACGAAGGTAGATCAACGGGCTTGTCTGTCATGTTTTATTATGGCTTGGTATGTCTGTCCAGAAGGGGATATGAGCAGCCAGCCAGACAAACAAAAGCTTCTGTTACCTCGAATGCAACCACAGAGCATTTCTGGATATGGATCATTTATACAGTATCATTGGCCTACAGATTTAACACTAATCAGTCAAAGTACTGCTAGTTTTTCCCTACACACAAAAGAAGTAAATTATCTTTGGCTGGCTCTTGACATGGTCGTTTCTCAAGAAGGGAAAAGGGACTTGAGTGAAGCAGGTGGTCACTTTGGGAGGAGGGACGGGATACCAAAAGGAGACACATGGAGCAGAAGCACCCAGGTATCAGGTTTCCACAAGGCAGGCCTTTCACAGCTGAATGACGGCGGCATGACCTTCCAGTTACGTTGGAGGCTTTGCAGCAAACATTCCAAAAGCGGTTTGCAGTCTGACCATAAAATAGATGCTGCTCTGTGGTAACACTGACTAGTTAGTGTTTGAGCAAAGTGATGGTAGTAAGAAAATTGATTTTCTTTTTCTCTCCTTTTTTTATGTAGTCTATCATAGATTTTCTTTGTATCGTTTCCAATATACTTAAGGGCACTCACTTACCTTGGATTGCTCAAGCAAAGCCAAGGAGCTTCAGTTTATTGCTTCTGTTCTTGTATTCTTGACTTCTGTTGAGAAAAAAAAACACAATTAGTATGATTTGTACACAGATTAAGTATTGCTAAGACAGCAAAGAAACCTTTGCTGCTCTCTTTTGCAATAACATTCCATGTTGCTATATAAAGTTGAGTTTCAGTCACATGCTTGACAGATGACAAAAAGCTATGCATGTCTTTTCCACATAGAAGTCCCTGCTATGTTACAAGGTGCATCTCCATATGAATGATAAAGTCAAATGCGGTGGTAGGATTCAGTATTAAGTGATGAAATTTAGCTGTGCTATAGAATGTTAGCCTACACATTAAGAGATGGGAAAGGCAGAACTGAAAAACTGGGGATTCACTTTAGAAGCTTACAAGCTTACCATACTTATGCATAAGAAAATATTTAGAAAAAAAAGCCCCTGCACTTTTTACTTTCATGACTAGACTTAATCACAGGTATTCATTCCTTTACTTCTTTTTAGATACATTTATAAAGTAGTCTAATGTAGTAGACTACTGATGCTGATCAATCATCACCTTAAGAGGCTTTAATAATTAACCAACAAGTAGCTGGAAGCAGTGTTGACACTGGTAAGGAAATATGTCTTTTTAAATAAATTTAACCACTTGTTTGTTTCCAAACTAGCCAAACTACAACAAGTAGGTTTGCTAGAAATTGATTAAAAATGAAGAAAATTTGGCTATAGAGGAATTCAGAGAGGAAGTATACCATTAAAAATGCTAATGCATTGATCTGCCTTAGTTTCACTGCTTCATGGAGGACTGTAAAAATATCAAACCACAACAGAAAGGCAGAAATGCGAAGCAATAATAGCAAATATAGCAGCAAAGTTTGTTGCCTAAATTGAATCTATCATTTAAATTCTGAGCATCATTCTTTACACTAAGTCAGTCTTGTGTTTGTGAAAATCAAGGCAAAGCTGAAAATGTGAGACACGTGCTGTAACTAGCCCAACATCTTACAGGTCTTATGCCAATTATTGTGTTATTGTGAAACAAAGCCCTCTTTTTGTCAGTCTCAGTACAAACAGAACCAGACTTGATGTGCGCAGAGACATGCAGCACCAGTGGGAACATGCCCTTCAGGAAAATTCTTCTTCAACCCCATCATTAACTTCCCCCTTCCCAACATTTTATGTTCAATAACCTAAACTGCTCATTACTATATTTGTGAGATGGAACAGTCAGATTTTAATACCTGTGCAATGTAACAAAGCCCCTAACAGTGATGCAAAGTTTAAAAAACGTAGTAAAGTTTTGGCCTGTTTTCTGTTGCACCAATAGAATACATAGCTGAGATAAAATACCAGCCAGTAATGGGTTCGCATTACATGTGTGAAGTGAGACTTGCACCACAGCAGCTGTGTATACTCATGCCCCTGTTACTGATTCAGACTGTTATGTCACAGAATACAACAAGGTAGACTAAAGAAAATGTGACACTGTGTTTGCCTTAGTGATAAAGTTATTATATGTGTAAGCTTTTAGGTGTTGTGCTACAACGTCATGATAGAAAATAACGAAATAGGCATATCGGATTTAACAAAATCAAAATATATGAGACAGTTTGCCCCACCCTCTTTACTCAGTGTCTTGGTAAGACCACACACACATAGCACATCTGCAGGTATTTCTGGAAGATAAAATGTGGTCAACAAACAGTGAAGGAAGCAAATAAAAACACGCAGTGCCCAGAAGTACCATACCACAGTCCACGACACAGATCGTGTCGCTTTGCCTCTCGGCTTTACTTGCAGAGGGAGTAGCACAGTGCACAGCCCCACCCAGGCCTCCAGTCACACACATTCCTTGATAGAGCCCTCAGGCCAGCTGGAAGAAAGCCCAACCTCTCCTACAGTGACTAACTCCAAAGAAATGTCCTCCTTCTGACACTAACTCTAGCTTTATTTTGTGCTGCCCACCCCGCACACAGCTGGAGTGCCCACCCACCTGCAATGAGTCCACCACACACCCCCAACCTCCAGGTTCCACTCAAACAAGCAAAAATGCAACGTTAAGTCAGCAGTGCATCTGTGATGGCACCCTAAGACGTGTGTCAAATGTGCATTGAGAGGTTACATTTGTGTCTTTTGGCTTAACATGCGCTTCACTGACGCAGTAAACAGCAGCCAGCTCATCACCCCATCACTTAAAAAGAGACATACCTCCAAACCTGGACTGTTAACTTTCATACTTTGTGCTTAAGTGGGTCAATACATTCTGGAAACTGATCAAAGCAGCTTTAGTCCGTCTACCAATTTGATTGCCAAATCCAATCAATTTAGTAATGAGAAAAGAGGAGCAATGTGACAATGATTAAGGCTCAATTTCAGAGTGTATCACACAGAGTGGAGCTCTGATAAAATTTGATTATGAGCAGATAAAAAGACCTCAGTACAGCAAGGCAGATACGGAGAGAAGACCAGTGACCTAATCAGTCTTGTTGTCAAAACAAAACAGACTCTCTTTCCCCCCCTGCTGAATTGTATTTAGACACAGCAAAAGCGAAGAAATACCAAAGAAGACAGCAGTATCTGGCCTTCAATGTTCCTTCACAAAAGCAGATAGGACGTGCACGTGTGACGTGTATAAAAGGAACGAGAGTCAAAATAATTGGTTGTTTTCTGCACTCTATAGTCCACATAGCCCTGAAGCAAACCACAAGCCCTACATAAGACTAAAGCCTGCCCACTGACGCTAACTTGGCCTGCTTCTGATTAAGCCATTGTGACTTTGGCAGGAGTCATGCACCAAATGGAAAAATTGAAGAAACTCTTAAAATCCTCCTCTCTTGCTCTTAAAAAATCAGAAATGAGGGGTTGCATTTGAAGCATACTTCAGCTTTGCCTTGATTTTCACATACATTTTAAGCTCTGCACAGTTCTGTCATAACTGCTTGTTCTCTATTACACACCAAGACATTTAAGACCTCAGTTTTAATTTCCTCTCTCGAGGGTTCTTACAGGTTTTTTTTAGAGATCCTGTTCCTTTGCATTCCTATTTTTTGCATTCCTATTATTACACCAAGAACTGCCTTTGAGATTGTATATGTAACACTGTGCTATAGACAAAAAACTTGATTTGATTTGAAAAAAAAAAGCTTATTCAAACTATTTTTTAAGATCTGTTCTGCTATTAAATGAGAAGTGATCCTGGCCTGATGCCCAACAATAGTTTCAGTGGCATGACTATCAAGCAGCTAGGATGTAAATTTTGAACTGGCATAACAAGTTAGACCAAAGAGAAGCGCCAAGTTTGAACAGATCAGCCATATAAAAAGAACATCACAAGAGGCTTACTGACACATTAAACAGGTCACGCCAAAAAATTGCCACGCTTAGTTTAACATGGCAATAGATTCAGCTGCTGCTTGAATGAGAACAAATACAAGTCCATTAACGGAACAGGGGACAAGGTTATGAGTAGGAGTTAGGTGGCAACCATAGCAGCAGAATGTATATATAGATGTGAGACTTCCTTTGCTGTAAGAACCTGAAGCATAAACAGAGCATCAGGATTGTACTTTCAATTCACACTTCTATTTAGACCACACGAGAGTTCCATCCTCGAATATCTTGTGCCAGATAACGAAAAACCATGTTGAATGTATTTCTCAGTTTACATTCCAAGCATGGTTGCCCTGACATTTAGGGCATGTATCTCCAAGTAGTGCTTAGTAACAGATGGCTTTTGATATTTTTATATAGGAGATGTTTGGAGGAGTACTGGTGCGAGTTCTTGCTTTATCAGACAAAAATGATTCACGCCCTTTTTGAGCTCCATGCTTGGGAAGGTCCCACATTGCTAAAATCTACAGTGAAATAGTCTGAATTGCATGCAGGTGCGTGGTTGCCACAGAATTATTTGTGACTTATTGTGACTATTTCATCGCAAATTTAAAATAACTGTTTCTCAAAAACAAGGCAAGCTAATGATAGGCGCTCCACAGAGAATACTGAGTACACACTGAAACATTCCAGCAGTGGGTGAGTGAGAAGGGCGTGGCTGCTGGGTGGATTGCCTAGAAAGACGTTCTGAAATTGCACACTATGGTTAAATTTTTATTTGCAACTTTAGGGAAGAAAAATGTTGCTCATTGAAAATCTTCTCACTCTATACATTTTGCATTGTTTTATCCAACCAATATCCAGGGTGTGCGTCTACGGAGTCGTCCGGAATGCTTGGTTTCGTAATGAAAGCCAAGTGTGAAAAGGATACGCTATAGTTTGTTTGAAACCACCACGCTTTCTTTCAGCTTACTGAACACCCCCCGCCCCACCTCTTCAACCACCCGCTCAACAAACCCACGAGGAAATAGCAGAGGAAGCATGCCAGAGACCAGTTTCCTTGCATTTTATACTGGAACATATGAGTAACACCATTCCTCGCGCCTGTGCTGTCAGTCAACACTGCGAGAATACGCAGTTGCGCTGGCAGAGAACTGCGATAAGCATCTCAACACTGTCAAGGCTCCAAACTGTCATGCGGCATGCTCTTCTTCCAGTTCTTCCTACTAACGACGCTGGTTGTCACATGGGTGAGAAGAGCCGCAACATCGGAGTGAAAGAAAAAGAAAAATGTGATCAATGAAGCTTTAAAATTTCAAGGTGTGCTTTTTGGAATTCCAAGTGACCTACATTGCTAGGTCACAAAATAATGTACCCTCTGTACTGCTGCACTGGTAGACAGAGCAAGTATTTAGACAAACAGTATCCACCCCAGGCCAAGATGAGGCCCTGTTAACTGACGAGCATTTCAGCTTTGGGGCGGTTAGGAGCAGCTCTGAATGTTTGAGCAGCTGAAATATAAATCACGCTTCAAATTTATTATGTTTAAGGTCCACACCCTCTCTTGAAGCAAAACTCTACACCTGAAATATCATGTTTAGTTTGGTTATTCACACCGTATTATCACCAAGTAAAGCTAAAAACGCTAAACATAATGCCGATTAAATGACAATCACTACATTTGGCCCTTTAAGCAGCCTGTGTTATAATCAATCACCTTGACTAGAGCAATTTGAGAAATGCCACACATGTACAGCTGTGGGTCACCCAGTGTGAGTTAAGTGCACGTTGTAGAAAAGACTACGCAGAGCAGGGCAAAAATCAGCTCTCGCTAACCCTCCTCTAAAGTGACTTTTGGGTGTGGCAGGAGGGAGCTGCAGAGGACACGCAACAGCACAATGAAATTTGACTTCCAAGTGAGATTAAACAAAGGATCTTTCTGAACTCCTGTTTCTCAACTTATACACCCACTTCACATAAAATATAGGCAGCACTACATGCAGTGATTCTACTTTAAACCACAGCTGAAATGATGCCATTTTAGGCTTTAAATATATTATGGGAAAGAAAATAATCCCCTGACTTTAGGGTTTCAGAAATGCCTCTTTTTCTTTTCCCCAAACGTGCAAAGTCTCAGCTCTTCCCCCTGCTCTCCCTCAAACCTGGTTTCAATTAGCTTGTCTTTCCAAACCACTACATTCCATTACTCCCCTCCTCAACCCCCTGCCCCGCCCATCCCCCCCTCACCAACTCACTCCATGACTCTCTTTCCCTGTCTTCCTCCCTTCTTCTCCCCCTGCACACCCTGGCCAGGAGCCCAGGTTGAGAGACCCATGGTAAAATAGACAAAGACAAATCTTTCTCTGCTCAAGACCTTAAAAAGTAAGTCATGAAATGCATATATGCCTCAGAGCCAAGCAGCAGTGAAAGTTTTCAACTTCATGTTGCGCAACACAAACCAAAAAGGTTTTGTTCAAAAGCTGATACATATTTAGCCAATAAACGGAAG